TCATGCTCACACTCATACATACTCACGCATACTTCAATAACATTACAACTCGGCCGTTCTGACAAAACAATCGACCACGATTGTTGTACAATAAACTGTTAATTCTATGTGTCCAAAAACTCATAATCTACATATTCATTACTTAACGGTTCTATTTCTAATTCTAAAGTGTTGCCTTCTGTGTCCGTTTCATTAAACTCTGACTCTGGTTCCAACCACATCTTAATTCTACTTGAATCTATTACACTGTTGTATGGCATCTGCGTTACTTGACAATTCTCAACATCTGTTACAACATATCTATCATTATCTAAACGCTTTCGGATTACGTATGGGCCCTTAAATTTTTTAATTAATTTTTTATTCTTGCCAACAGTGGTATCCACATTCTTAATTACAACTAAATCTCCCGGATTAAACTCTTTCGCTGGTTTATGGTGCTTTTCAAAATACTTTTGGTTATACGACTGAGACTTCTGAATTGCGACCTCTGCTTTTGCTCTTATATCATCTAAACTCTTTTGCTCTTTGGCATAAACTTCATGCAAATACTCTGTTAGTTCATCAACCACTTCACCACGCTGTTCAATACCGAACAACATTCGACTTGGCGTCTGTTTTGTAGTACAATGCACAGTGTTATTCACAGCAAACTCAACATCTGACAATTTCTTTTTCCAATCAGTATGACTTATGGGGTCGGTTATTTTAGCCAACACTGCCTTCATAACACGGTTAACTCTTTCCACCTGACCATTGGACTGCGGTGAAGCAACTGCATTCTTGATATGTATTATGTTTCTCTCTTGCAAAAACTCCTCAAACTCTTTTGACTTAAGACCCGTTCCACGATCATTAATAATTCTCTTTGGACGACTGTATTCCGCAAAATATTTACGTAATGCACAAATTGTTTCTTTTGTACCAGTGTTGACAGCATATAGTTTGGTAAACTTAGTGAAAGCGTCGATCACCACCAACACATGCTTATGCTTCGAATTTACCGTTTCCAATGGACCAAAATGATCAATATGTAATGTATCGAATGGCTCTGGCTTCTTTGGTATACTGTACATATTACGTTCATTTTTCCGCGCAGGAGTTGAATAGTAGATACACTTCAAACAGTTTCTGATAAATTTGTTCACCTTTTCGCGCATGTGTGGGAACCAATAGTGTTTCTGTATTTGGTTCGTGCACTTGTCAATACCCAAATGACCATAATTCTCATGTATCGATCTAATTATGCTCGTTTCCATTTCATGTGGCACGTACAACTGTTGATTTTCACCACTGACACGAAAGACCAATCCGTTTTCAAGTTCATATCCCGTTACTTCTTCTGTTTCTAACTTCTGTCTTAGCTGCTGGATTTTTTCATCGCGCGTCTGTGCTATCTGTATATTCAAATCAACTTCACCCTCCACGATGCTGCATACATTCAGACCCACACGACTTAACGCATCAACATGTGTCATCTGGTGGCCCGGCCGATGACGCACTGTAAAGTTATAATTTGCCAGTCCCAATGTCCAACGTGCAATGCGAGGGTTAATTAGTTTCTTTTCCAATGCCATAACCAATGAATTACAGTCTGTCACAATAACAAATTGCATGCCGTCCAAAAATGTTCTAAATCTTTCCAGTGCATTTACAATGGCCAACGTTTCCAATTCAAAACTGTGGTAACGTGATTCCGCTTCTGTTGTAGTTTTCGAAAAATATGCAACTGGGTGAAACTGTTTATCGTCTTGCCTCTGTAACAATGCTCCACCATATCCACGTGAACTGGCATCTGTATGCAACTCTGTTTCTCGTTTCGGATCAAATATAGCCAATACTGGTGCCTCTGTTAACTTCTTTTTCAATATCGTAAATGCTTCCATACATTCATCTGTCCACTCAAATTTTGCATCTTTTTTAATTAACTGATTCAATGGTCTGGCAATCCGTGAAAAATCAAAAACAAATCGTCTAAAATATGAAAACAATCCAACGCATCGCTGTGTTTCTTTTGCATCTGTAGGCACTTTATAATTTCTGATCGCGTTTAAATGTGCTTCATTCGGGCGAATACCATGCTCATTCACCACATAGCCCAAATATTCTATCTCGTCGTATGCAAACTTACACTTTTTTAAGTTCAACTTCAATCCAGCCTCTGCCAACAATGTCAATACGCCTGTCAATATCTCCATGTGTTCTTCAATTGTTTTCGTAGCTATGTTTATATCGTCCAAATACACAACAATTTTTCCAGCATCAATCAATTCTCTCAAGACCAAACTAATAAATCGTTGAAATACTGGTGGTGCATTCGTCAAGCCAAACGGCATGTAAACATATTCGTACTGACCCATCGGAGTCACAAATGCTGTTAGTTCAATGGAATCTGGATGCATCGGCACTTGATGGAAGCCATTTTTCAAATCCAAAGCACTAAAATACTTCTTACCACCGCCCAAGTATTCCAAACAGTCCTCGATCAACGGCAACGGAAAATGATCCCTTACTGTAAGTTTATTCAATGCACGGTAATCAACACACATTCTCAATTCACCATTCTTCTTTCTGACCAACACAATTGGCGATGCATAAGGCGAGCTACTTGGTCTAATAATACCTTGTTCCAATAAATCATCAATTGCCTTCTGTACTTCGATCTTTTCTTTGTATGACAAACGACGCGGGTTACTGTATACTGGTTCATCATTCTTCAGTTTAATTTGCATAGAATAACTACTGAACTTATGGTTCACATCTTTTGTTTTCACGTGGTTTCGATAAATGGTTGATTTCAGAGCATCTGCATGTTTCTTATCCAATTTCTTGTTAATATCAATTAATTTATTAAACTCATCTGTCTCAGTCGCACTTACCAATAAAATTACTTCATCATAATCAACCAATTCTTCTGTTTCATTTAAATTAATTACACCGATACATTTATCAAATCGAGTTTCACAACTGTTCAAGTCATCAACAATGTTTACCTCTGGTTCAATCCGTTTACTTACACTAGATCTCTTTCCAATTTGCTTAACAACTGTCTCTGTATTCTTAAAACTATCTGTGGTTGGTACCTCTGTAACGCTATCATTCGGACTCTTAAACAAATTAAACAACTTAAGTGCACTGGTACTTTTGGGCATTTTATTCTTCATATTACTTCTAATTTTAATTAACTCGCATGCTGTATATTTGTACGATTTTATTTGGCATAAATAAACTTCTAATTTTGTCAATAAATCACGGCCCACAAGTAAAGGTACCACGGCCTCATTATCTGGCAAAACAAAAAAATTATGTATCAACTCTTTGCCTCTGAACACAAATTTACACGCGATTTTGCCATACATACTTAATTTTTTATTGCCCATTCCACGATACGGTGTACATTTTAATTTATTCATCGCAAATGGTACCATCGAACGTCGCACAAAACTAACGGGGCTACCGGAATCAAATAAAGCATTTCTCGGAATCAACTCAGTGCACTTATTTTGTTTATTCATAAAGGCAACACTTACCATTTGCATCGATGACAACTGCGTTGCTAGACGGCGCACCTCATTCCCATTTTCCGAAATGTCCCAATTGTCTTGATAGTTTGTTTCTGGTGGCGGATTTCCAACCGATGCAACTGTATTTGGTTCTCTGGCTTCTGGCTTCTTCTTTTTCGGACATTCATGACGCGTATGTCCACCCTCATGGCATATGAAACACGAGTTTGGCGGCCGTTTTGGAGCCGTGCACTTGCTCTGGTAATGACCATAATTGAAACAATTGTAGCAACGAATTCCCGACAAATCAATTTCACCAACGCTTTTTGTTGCATTGGCACTGGCACTTGCAAAGGCACGTGTATTTGCACTGGCATCTGGCACGTTTGACTTTGGCTTCGTCATTGCAGCTGGTATGGCACTTGTTTTTGGTTGCACTGTGACACGACGCAATTTTTCATAACGTTCTGTCAACAATTTCAAGTCGGCTAATGTACGAGCACCGTACAGAATTGATGCATGCACACTTTTGTCGTTTAGGCCACTGATGATCAAATCAATTAAGTCGGCTTCTGGAATCATCGATCGGCTTGCAATGTGTCGCATTTCGATTATATATTCACGTGGTGTTTCATCTGGCTTGATTACACGGGCTTTCAATTGGCTGAAGACATCTTGCACTGTGTATGCACGTTCGTATTCGGTCAATAATGCTTGCTTGAATTGCTCGTATGCAAATGCCGATGTAATTTCCGCAAAACGTTTTGCACGACCGGTCATCAAATGCCGTGTTGCAACCAATTTATCGCGATCACCATAACGGAACATTGTAAACACATTTTCCAAATTCTCGATCCATTTTGTTACATCGTGCAATTCGGTGCCATCAAATTTATTAACCATTGCGTCGAGCACGTGTAGATCAATTTTTCGCGTTTCGATTTGTATCAATTCCCGTTGTAATTCCGTCAATTCACGCTTTTTCCGTACAATGGCCAATTGTCGATCGATTTCGGCTTCTTCTGCGTCCCAATCTAAATTCAACCGATTGTGAACACTTACATTTGCATCTGGTTGCGTCTGTTGCATCTGTTGTTGTTGTTGTAAAGCTTCACGTTGTTGTCGCTGTTCATCTGTTTCGTCTGGGTTATTTTGCATCTGTTGTACACCATCCGGTCCCAATTCATTCAACTGAACACGTTGCTGCACGTTATTTCCACGATTTTGCCCAATTTCCGCAATTAAATCGTCATACAATGGTCGTAATTGCACCATTGTTGCTTCTGGATCAAACACAATGCCGGCCTCTGTTAATGCACGCACCATATCTGCACGTCGTAATGAATTTGCCATCGTAACAAAATCCAAAAAAATATTCAATTTCCGTAATTAATCGAATAAAAATAATACGTTTTTATTAAAGTTCGGCACGTTCTCTAACGAATCCCGCTTCTGAATTTGTAATAAGTTATAAACTGACACGGATGATTTTAAATTAATTTTAT